GGAAAACAAAAGCACATATTCTCCTTCAGAAAAGCTTGCCTGCTGCTATTGTTAAGATACTGTACATTCTTACCTTTACGCCTATAATTTACATCTATAATTTAAAATATTATCACTACATTATAAATATTAAAATGGAAAATACTTCGATAAAATGTGTGTAAAAAGAACTAAACCACAGTGCATACAAAAAATACATAGAAAAAATTAAAAGAACAAACCTGCATCTATCATAAATGATATGTAAGAACGAATCTTTAAATTATTTTGATAAAATGGCAATACAGAAGATGAAAGACTGTATATATCTTCAAGAAACTGATGATTAGTTATACCAGGTTGTTATATAACCTCCGGAATAAGTGCATGTAGGCTTTGTTCAATGTCTGTTCAAAGTTACAACAATGATAAATAAGTAACTTTGCAACCAGGCCTTGAATTTACAACCTTTGCAGGTCTGTAAGGCAAAAGAAAACTGGAGTAAGATTATAAGCACCATCACAGTTTCACTTAGTAACTGCTTCACTTAATGACTAAACTGCCAGTCCCATTTGTGGTTGCTATAGGAGGATTACCGGTACTTTAATGTGAGAATTATTTAAAATTTCTTCCACAATTCTTATTCCAGTTACTTTACTTTTTCCTCTATTTTTAAATTTATTACTTTTGTCTGTCAGTACATTTTGAACAAGGGAGTAGAAAGAGTGCTCTAAGCAATCTATTCTTTAGTTGTATTTCCTAATTTTATTTTTGTGTCTGAAGCAGATAATTGGAAGCCACATGGCTTATTTTTTAAAAGTAGCATATTACTATTACAATAAATAAAAAGCATCTACTGTATATTCACAAAGAACTTCCAAACTTTCGGTAGCTGTTGGGTTCCCTGGAAGAATTGACATTATGGTGCCATTTGTATGTTAGAAATGTATCTATATAGTAATATCTAGCCTAATGAAGAGAAGGACTATGGGTGACATGATAGCAGTGTTCCAGTATTTAAGGGGCTGCCACAGATAAGAGGGAATCAAGCTATTTTCCAAAGCGCCTGAAGGCAGGACAAGAAGCAATGGATGGAAACTAATCAAGGAGAGATTCAACCTAGAAATAAGGAGAAATTTCCTGAAAGTGATAACAATCACCCAATGAACAGATTACCTTACGAAGTTATAGGTGCACCATCATTGCAGGTTTTTAAGAAGAGATGGGACAACTATTTGTCTGAAATGTTATAGGGTCTCCTGCTTTGGCAGGGCAGGAGTTGGACTAGAAGACTCCAAGGTGCTGGCCAACTCTGTTATTCTGTATTCTGTATATTTTTCAAAGCCCACATTCATTTTTACAAGCTCCCCAAGAGAATAAATGAGAGAGAAAGCATTAATGGTTTATAACACAAGAGACACATATTTGTGGCAGAATGCTAAGACAGATAAATTGGCTAAAAATAAGGCTAAAACTCAATTTCACAGAAGAAAATAAGATATCAGAGTCAGTCAAGAAGCTCTGCTGAGTTGTTTCAGAAGTGGGAAGTGAATGTGAAGAGTTATCAAGGCTGTGTTCTGACAAGGCTATTCCTAGGATAGCTTCTGAAAATGTCATCAAACAAGAATAAATTTCTGCCTGTTTACCCTCTCCTTAAAATTTCTGCCTGTTTACTCCTCCCTAAAAAATCTTGATCACAGGGAATATGCAAGCTATGACTTTACATTCTTTGTCTCCTTACACACCTGGGCCCCTACAATTTTCATTCACTCTTTCCCATAATATGCCAGATCCCTTTCCCTTGAACAGGCTAACAGGGCAGAAACCTCCACATATAATGGAAGCAAATTACCATCTGCTTGCCTTTCCGAAAACAGAAATTCCTAGGAAATAGGAGATAAAGGAAATACTTGATCACTTTCATTTGAAAGGCATCTGGGCAAGTTAAAATGAAAACGGTAAGCTAGTAGGCTAATAGATCATCAGTCGGGGTTACATAAAAATAAGGATTTTTATGGTATTTTTAACAACAGCTCCAGGGAAGCCAAGTCTAAAGTTAGTGAGAACTAACTAAAGTTAGTGAGTTAGTTAATCCCTTTGTTCCAAAACTTGCTCCAAACGTACTTCAGCTTAAAAATATATAAGCTGTCTCCATTTCTTGATTTTTTTTAAAAAAAGTGTTAAAGTTGCTTGAGGAAAACTGCAAATGAATTGGAAGAAAGTTGAATTGCTGACCTTAAAAAAGCCCTGAGGGTTGGGTGAGAAAATAATACAAAACATCTGAGTCAGTTCTGCATGGAATTTCCCTGAAAAGCTATCCTGAAGCCCGAAGGTAGCTTAAAAGGAAGCAGATATAGCACATGATATGAGAAAATGTGGGGAATTGGGAAGGTAACCCAACATAGGATATAAACGAGATAAGGCAGGAGTTTGTAGTTCAGGATGCACAATGTTCAGTGAAAAAGAGATTCACAAATTTAAAGTCTATACCAGGGGTCTGCAACCTTGAAACTTTAAGACTTGTGGACTTCAGCTCCCAGAATTCCTCAGACAGCTATGCTGGCTGAGGAATTCTGGGAGCTAAAGTCCACAAGTCTTAAAGTTGTCAAGGTTGCAGACCCCTGGTCTACACCATCATAATCAACTAAGAAATGGCAGTTGCATATCCTAATGCAGCTTCCATGATTTTGTATCTTAACCCCAAATCCTGATACTAAGAATACCCTATAGCAGGGGTCTCGCAAACTTGGCAACTTTAAGAATGTTGGGACTTCAACTCCCAGAATTCCTATGCTGCTGAGGAATTCTGGGAGTTGAAGTCTACAAGTTTGGAAACCTCTGCCCTATAGAAACGTGTGCGATTCTTGCTTTTTTTTTTTTGCCTGTGCTTGTGATGAGGGTTTGACAAAGCTGTCTTTACTTTTGACCTGATATTATTCAAATTAACTATAAGAGATCAGCAATTTTGGTAATGGAGATCCTAAGTGCACTGAATTCTCTGAAGACATTCATTGTGCATTAGGCATAGATATCCAGGAATAAATAACAGGATTATTTCTCTATCTGAAAATTTGTTTCTACGTGGATTCTGTATGTTAACTATGTGCAGATTTAATTTTCATCTAATAGCTCCAATTATAAAGAGTACATGTATCTGATCACAAACCTTCAGCATATCACTGATATTAAAGGTATATAAAAAGTCTTTATTTCAGAGGATTTAAATAGCACTTGATTGGGCAGAGATGTCAGCTAATCCCAGTAGTTCAAAAAGAGGTCCTTTAACATAAATATTGGAGAAAAATACACAGTAGAATAAAAAAAATAGTACTATATTAAGGGTAAAAATAAATGTTTTGATGGTTTGGTGTAGCTGGGTGACCTTGGAGCCAGTCGCTTTTTGTCTGTCCAACCTATCTTGCAGAGTTGTTGCTGTGGGGAAAATAGAAGTATTTTATATGTTTGCCACCTTGAGTTAAGTATAGAGTAATGAAGGCAGGATTGTTTTTTTAAAAAAATCTAATAAAGTATTGAATAATCAGAGTCAATCATATGTCATAAGGATTGCATCATGACACTACTTCAAGAGCCTTTTCATATTACGCTTCCATGATAGCAAATTTGATTCAATTAACAATATGGCATTCAGGTGAATAGTTGAAATTTGGGACAAATTTTTATTATTCCATTTTTAGTAGCATAATTCAATTTAATAGCATAATTTAAATTGCTAAATGAATATATGATTTAAAATGCACTATATATTGAATATACACATTAAGTCCTCCCCCCAAATTCAAACAACTCAGTGAATTAAAAATGCTTTCCAAACATCTTTTAATTTTTTTTTAAAAAAATACTATTTAGAATCTGAAATTTGGAAAGAATTTTCTTCCATTGATTTTTATCATCAGATAATCTCAGCAGTGAGGATTGTCGGTCCTTCCATTGCTCAACTATTGCCAAACTAGAGCCAGAGTACAGTAATAGGTTTTCTAGGCCTAGGACCCTGGTTTCCGCCAGGATCAAAGAGTTTAAAGCAGGGGTGTCCAACCTTGACAACTTGTGGACAACTTGTGGACCTATAATGGCTGGGGAATTTTGGGAGTTGAAGTCTGCAAGTCTTAAAGTTGTCAAGGGTACACCCCTCCCCCACTTTAAAATATTAGGTTATAGATCAGTGATGGCGAACCTTTTAGAGACCGAGTGCCCAAATTGCAACCCAAAACCCACTTATTTATCGTAAAGTGCCAGGGCTGCATCAGCATTGTGGTGCCCTCGGGGGCGGGGTGGGCATGGCCCACTGGGTGGGTGTGGCTGCAGTGGTCATGACAGATTGGGTGAGCGTGGCCAAGGCCTATCTCTCACCATCTCTGGAACATCCCCGGGGGCCAACGCCGCTTGCTCGCTCACTTCCTGCCCTGTCGCTTCCAAAGGCCATGTGCTCGCTACTCTGGCAAACTCTGCTGGGGTAACGGTGTGCATGCCTACAGAGAGGACTCTGAGTGCTGCTTCTGGCATGCGTGCCATAGGTTTGCCACCACTGTTATAGATTATTTACAGTAATATTTAGATGCTAATTTCTTATTCTCCCAATTAGCCATTTTAAACAAGTGTTCCAAACTGAACAATAATACATCTGTCTATCTTTATAGACAGTAAAGGAAAACTGAGCTTAGCATTAACAGATTTGAGAGGGCAGTATATGCTGATTGTATGTCTCTGTGAAATTGCTGATTACTTGCAAGAGGATCATGTTTGATACATAGTTGGAAAAATATAAACTTTGGTTTATTAAGTTACTTGAACAAATGGACTAGAGTTTGCCTGTCACTTGAATTAAGCATAAAGGAGAAAAAAGCCTGTTCTTTTCTTAACCCTGTTCAATGTATTTTCTAAGTTCAAAAGTACTAAGAAATACTTTTTGTCTCTCAGCATTTGAAAGGTTGCTATAGTCTCAGTTAACATCTTTATTCCCTACTCCTTCTTCAAATTGCTTTTAGAAATGACTCCCACACACGTTTTATTGTATTTTACATTTATTTTGTTGGATTTATAGTCTGCCTTTTGCATAGCAGCTCACAACAGTGATAGATTTATCTGTCATTTAATTGTCCACATACTAAGAGGGTGCACAAAATGAAGGAACATGTTTTCTAAGATTTTTTTTTTTTTAATGAGAAGCTCTGGTAAAAGGATAACTGAAACAACCACATACTGTAAGTGAGCATAACTAAAAAAAACCAACAATAATTTTGCTTCAGCCCAGCCCATGAATAATGTTAACTTAAAAAAAAAAAATCTCTGTAGCTAAGATTTGATAAGCATATTAGCCAATAATATAGCAAGCAAGGGATCTAGTCTTGTTGTTTGGAACCATTTTGAATTTAAGGGAAAAATGATTCAGAGCTAGATCTAAGTATATTATTTTTACTCATGTTAGATGTATTACTCTGGGAAAAAAGGCAACAAGGAGAGGTGCTACACTGGGCTGATGCATCTGCACACAAATAGTCAAGTATAACTTTGTAAGTTGATTTCAAACTTTATGCTCCCAACTTAAAGAGAAGTGGAATCTCCCTCCCTCTTCTTTAAGCTAGACCTTGGGAAAATATTGCCTATATATTAATATATTAGCACTGCCCGCTGTTCTTAATAAGAAATATTCAAGATCATCTTCCACAAATTTTTAATCACTAACAATATTGACTTATTTCCCCCTTTTTTGCAAATGGCTGTCATTTTTAACACTTTTAGTCCTTTATTATACATTAGGATCAAATATAATGGACAGACCATTTTTCAGGATATATATTCTTCTCTTCTAAAATGTCTGTGAACAATATCACTAAATGGCTTAGTCTTTGCCTTAATAATTGGGTAGAATCAACAAGTTTCCCATGCTTTTTTGCTTAAGTCTGAGCGTTACAAAAGTTGTGCCAAGCTTGGATTTTTAATCCTTCTTCATAGTCATGCTAAAGTTTCTTTGCTGGCAAAGACTAAAATAATCTGTAATATCATAGTTATGTTTCTGTGTATGGGTGCAATGTTAATTCCTTCCCACCGTTATTTATGCAAGTGAATTTTATTAAGAATCTTTGGAATTCATAAAACATTTTATTTTATACACAAACATACAGTAGGTCTCTCCATCCCTCTTAGAAATTAGCAGCATTATCAAAATCTAAAATCCATAAACTCTCAGAAAGACATAGATTTTTGTTTAAACAACTGAGGCACAATCAATCGGGCAGTTTTTCTGTACACACTTAAGTAATTTCCATTTATCTCTGAAAGACTTGACAGATGTAAATTCTCCAACCAGATTGTACTTTTGAATGTTTACATATAGCACTGACTTTCCACATCATCACCAATTTATCTGCAGGTTGCAATGCGGTTTGGGGGGGATGTTTTTGGTTTATTTTTTGACAGTACTATATGAAACAAATAAAAAGTATAAAATATAAGCAACAATGAGGTGATCTCCCATATGAGCTAGAAAACATGCACTTATTTTAGCGTATAAGTCCAACATCCCCTTCATCAGAAACTTAGGAAAAGAAGACCCACTGCTTTCACAACATTTAAAAGGATGATTGTATCCATTTAAAATATACATTTTTGGCCAATCACATTGGATTTGGATCACAATTCTTAAACAAGTTAACATCTTCTATCTATACCTTCAAGTTAAGCATAAATATCCGGTGCAAATCTAAGCATAACTTGACAACACTAAATGCCCTCAAGTCTTAAAAAGAATTAGTGAGTTTTCTTCATGGCCATTTTCACTTGCATTTCATATAAATATCATTATTTGGACATTTAAAATCAATTTAATCTGCTTTCAGGCACTGTTCGTGGAATATGCATAGCTATTCCTATATTCCAATAGCTTAATGCACTTTGTGATTCGCTAGATCCAAAAACAGAACACGAAAACACAGACATTATTCTTGACAGGACATGCCACTTCATTTTTGATCACTACTTATTCACCTCAGCATAGTTAAGAGACATATGTCTATGGTGATTCTCAGGTCATGGTTGTCCCAAAAGTGCTTTTTCAAGAGGCAACTGGACTTTCTTTTTTTTTTCTCTTTGAAGATGTTTCGCTACTCATCCAAGAAGCTTCTTCAGCTTCTTCGCTTCCCCACCATCCAGTCAGAGCTGAAGAAGCTTCTTGGATGAGAAGCAAAACGTCTTCAAAGAAAAACAAGAAAGTCCAGTTGCCTCTTGAAAATGCACTTTTGGGTTGAGAGACTTACTTTATTTTAAACAAGATGATGATATTGCATTCTAATTGTATCATAACAGTAAACATATTTTACAGAAGCTGCAGGATTTTAAATAGAAAATTGTCATTTCATTTATTGGTGAGACATGAATGTCAGAATTTGATCATGAGATTGGTAGATCATGTTTACAATTCATTACAATATTATCATTATAAATAATAAGTAGCCCTAATTTCAAATTAAGGCTCACTTTCATCCATTTCATTGGAGTTAAGCTTTACACTAGCTCAGGAATTCTGGGAGTTGAAGCCCACAAGTCATAAAAAGACCATCATTCCCCACCCCTTCTTTACACGGTACAAATTATTTTCACTATTTAACTAGCTGTCCAGAGATAGAAACTTCCAAAGATTCTTGCCAATCTATCACAAGATTTCATAAAACCAGAAAACGAATAAGGAGAAGTTTAAAATTTACTTGTCATGGTTATAACTAACTTACATATATTAATCTAGAGAGATTAGACAGGAGGGTTGGCACTTCATCATTAGACATCCGTATGCAATTAATTCCCCACTGTAGAATTTGATATTTCATTATTTGAAAAAGCTGTAATTGAATTATGTTTTAATGTTTTCTGGCACGGCTGAAAAATTTGACAATCAAACCATGAGCGAGATGCAAAGTCAATCGGTATTTCTATCTGTTCATTAGATGGGAACCAACAAACAGCCACATTCTTTCTTGTAATATATGCTAATTTTAGTTTCCTGATTACATTTCCTACTAAGACATAATAATTATAGACAAAGGAAGGAATCAAAAGCCCATTCAAGAGAACCCAGACTGGATGAGATGTAGGATTAAGGCTTTCACAAATAGCTTCAATGACAAGACATAATGGACCACTACAATGGCCATAGCTGCATAGCAACATTCTTAATAATATGTGCTAATTCTAGCTGGAGTTGGGTTGTCATCTGACAGGGATTGTAGATCATTTTATAGCAGCTCTAGCAATGCTTAGAAATAATTGCATCCAGCCCAAACTGCATTTGCAGCAAAGCTCAGGGCAACACTGTTAATGTCACTGTCCCCTTTTGGTGCTTCAGAATAGCTACGGCTTGCTCATGAGTCACACCTTCCAAAGACTGCCCATTAACAGCTAAAATCTGATCACCACGCTTCAGTCTGCCATCATCTGCAGCTGCCCCCTGGAAAGAAAAAAAAAACAAATCAGACCAGAAGCAATACACATCATCAGCCAAGCAATGTTTTGAGGCTAAAATAGTAGATAACAAATTATAGGGAACATGGAGATGACAGAACTGCTTTAGGATGACTTTCTTCAACCATTTGGGATATATTGGAATTACAGTTCCAACAAAATGCCTAGTCCAGGGGTAGGCAACCTTGGCTCTTTTATGACTCTTTTATGCAGGCTCAGGAATTCTGGGAATTGAAGTCCACGAGTCATAAAAGAGCCAAGGTTGCCTACCCCTGACCTAGTCAGTGGGATTAATTTAATGCTAGATCATGTGATACTAAGTTGAAAAGGCTAAACTGGAGGGTTCTTGGTTGGGAAAGCTTCTCTGCATTCAAAACTTTATCTTTTTATATTCACATTTACATTGTATAGCTAACTTGGCAATTCTGACATGATTATCTCCCTCAAAGAAAATGATACATTGGTATGCATGGATCTAATCACAGAGGCTCACATATACATTGTGTACTGAAACTGGGAACAGATGGTGCAAACTGTCTTTAAAAAGTAACAAAAACATCAGCTATGAGAACTCAAAATGCTGATGGTTAGCCCTTCTAAATGGAAGTCAGTACTTATTTTACTTATATGAGTCATGGCAACCGGACTTCTTTTCTTGAAGAAGCTACTTGGATGAATAGCGAAACCAAACTAAAAACCACAAAAGAAATCCAGTGCCATTATGTAATTTCTAGACAACTTAATCTGGATAACTGAGATTCTTCATCAACTATACTTATTTTTAATTGTATGGAATTAAATAAATTCCTGACATAACAAGTGAACATTTCTGGATTGCCCAGATTCTACTGTTTTTCTCCTTTTTCTTTTCCAAGTACTTTTTCCCCCGATTATGGACAGGACAATAGCTTCCCTTATCTCACATCTCATAATTTATGTCAAGACACATCTGTATAGGAAAAAACCCTGTTCCCATTTTTAATGTTGCACACCACCATACCATAGCAAAGGGAAAAATATTAATAAGTGTATGATACTGTACTTGTCTACTCAGATAACTATGCAATAAAATAGTAAAACATGCCCACCAGAAGGAAGAAGCAAGGAGAAGTTAAAAGGCTTTTGATTATGATCTTCAAATTATTTGCTTGTCTTTGGTTCATTTTAAATTTGAGATATTTTAAATGAACTGTATTAAATTAACACGATTTGCCCCATTTATGTTCACTGCTCATTGAGTAAATTCATTCTGAGCACAGTATTTAGGGGGGGATAAGCCAATATAATTACAACCATTACAATGTATTACAACCATTCATTTAGCAACTTTTCAAGGTTACAACAGGGCCAAAAAAATGTGGTCCTCACATTTACGACTGTTGCAGGATGACCACGGTCACCTGATCAAAATTTGGGCACTTGGCTGCCAGGATGCATTTACAATGGTTGCAATGTCCCAGGGTCATGTGATCCCTATTTATGACCTTTCTAGTTGGTTTCCAACAAGCAAAATCAATGGTGGGAGGTGGAATTGCTTAAGGACTGTGTGGTTCACTTAACTGCAGTGATCTGCTTAACAACTATGGCATAAACTATTATAAAATTAGGCGTGATTCCATTAACCACCACCTTGCTTAACAACGGAAATTATGGTGTCGATTGTGGTTGTAAATCAAGGACTATCTTCAGTTTTCTCGTAAGATCAGACTAGGCCTCTGCCTGATTTTCCATGACATAAGTAAGTAGTCCCTATCCTAGGTTTTAGTTGAGTGTTTGGCTGATCTTCAGTGACATTTGTTTTCTTCATAATGCCTACTAATTTATGTAATTTGTATATTTTAATGAGTTGCAGTATGTTCTTTTGTTATATTATTTTATTATTTTACTCTTCATATTAAGAAAGAAACATTAATTTTTCAGTGTCCTATTGGAAAGGCATGCCATTTGAGTCTGATTAAGTAAATAAGCAAATCAACTAAAGTAAACTGATTAGGAATATTTGTAGTTTGTAGTAAAATAATATGGGATTTTTTTCTGCCTGAATAAATAACAACCTATGCAGGGTCAAGAGTTTTCAGTGGTAAAAATTAAGTGGTGATTAATAACATGTTCCTGCTCCAGTCTGAACTAATTCCTTCTGCAACTCTTCCTTAAAATTTGCACAATACTTCCACACGTAGCATGGCCCTTTAAATGAAGCTTTTAATAGCGTAGAGGCATGTGGCCAATATTTAGAATATAAACAGACTCAAAGGGTTCACTACTTTCTCCCAAAAGCTGATAACTGATTTAAGGATAATATTCACTTCAATTAAACCAGTGGTTCTCAACCTGTGGGTCGGGACCCCATTTGGGGTCGAACGACCATTTCACGGGGGTCGCCAAACAAGGCTGTCCGCCATTTTTTCCCCCTTTTCTTTGGCCACGCCCCTGGCACCTGGTGATGTATAAGTGGTTGGGGGTCACCACAACATGGGGAACTGTATTATGGGGTCGCAGCATTAGAAAGGTTGAGAACCACTGAATTAAACTATTGAAAAAAAACGCAAGGGAGGTTGTTTCAGTTTTCTATATATTATTGTAATATACAAATAAAGTCCAATTTTCCCCCCACTCATCAAAAGAGTGAGTCACATTGAATATCAATGCAAAGGGCCATTTCAAAGTAATGTTTGAGAGTACCTTTGCAAAAATGGTCTTGACATATATAGGGAGGTCTCCTTGTGGACTTCCGAAGCCTCCTACGATGCTAAAGCCCAATCCATCCGAGCCTTTCTCCAACACAATGATTTTAGGTTGAGGTGCTCTTAAAAACAAAACAGGAAACACCCATTAATACATTGCTTATTTAATATGAAGAAAAACAGCATCACTTATAGCTGTCTCATTCCATCAGAGCAATGGCTGTCTTCCACTGCTTTTGCCTATTTTGTTAATGACTCCCAAGCTTAAGATCTTTTAGCCCTGGAAGCTCTTGATGGGAGATAATAAAGTATGGATTCCATAATTCATCCTCCCAGGAATTAGCTATGTGCTTGCAATAATGCTGTCAAATCCCACCCACCCCCGGCAATACTTCTCTATCTTTATTTTCAATGGCTGAAATCACAAAATATAACATTTCCCATAACTGAAAATGTTACGTACTACTGTTCTCTGCAGCTATTGCTACTGTTAGAATTCATGAAACAAAGAATGCATAGCACTTAAACGCTACAGGTCAGGAATACATAAGTTTTCTAATTTGACCGAAACATTTGTTTGGTGAGGTAATTGTTTTTGACAGAAAGCTTTAGCATAATTCACCTACTTCCTTTTTTCCTGGCCAGATGCCCTCCAGATCTGTTGGGAGTACAAGGAAGTCTGGAGAAGACAGAGTTAGTTTTATGTGGAGAACTAGTTAAGAGAGATGTGGAACTAGATATAAGCAGGCTGGGTGGCATCATAGTTTAGGATTAATTCCATCACAAGGATGGTGTGATGGAATGTAGTTTGGATTCCCAGGAGGGAGGGTGTGCATTCCAGAGATGCAAAAGACAACTCAGTTCAGATAGTTTGTGTGTGAGAGAGTGAAGATGGCTACTCCTTAATAGTTCCCAGAGTATATGCTTTAGTGGAGTGGTACTTTGCTTTAATTTGGCAAGATTCTACCTAAGGGTGAGTAACAATGAAGAAATCTATTTGGGAGAATCACATCATTTATTTGTTGGGTTTTTGGAGCTTGGCAGATGGCAGGTTTCATGGAGAAACATGGTATACACAGACAGAATCATTCCAAACAGGATGCAGCAACAAGCTAGTGCTCTGCCTTGAATGCCTCCTAGCTAAAAGCACTTCATGAAGAACAGGGTAATGCTAGAAGACAGCTTGAATACCCAGCTTAATAATGGTACATGCTATTTGGGAATTACTGCCACTAGAGTAAACAACTTGAGCGACATGACCATATTTCCAGTCATAAATTCCTGCAACAAAGATGTAGAGATAGGTATTTATGTTTATTTAACTAGGAAGATAGTAACAAGAACAATCTCCATGGGCCTCATGCCTAAATGAAGCAACAATAGAAACAAGAACTCAGCAAAGTACTGTTCCTAAAGCTTTGACATGCATCTGATTAGCAGAAACTAAGAATTGGAACAATTCTCTTCTACACCGGGGTGTCCAACCTTTGTAACTTTAAGACTTGTGGACTTCAACTCCCAGAATTCCCCAGCCAACATTGCTGGCAGGGGAATTCTGGGAGTTGAAGTCCATAGGTCTTAAAGTTGCCATGGCTGGACACCACTGTTCTAGGCAAAATAATTGAACAAGAAAGTGCTTGGCAAAAGATTGCCAAGTATCTTGAAGAAAGATGTATTTCAAATGCAAGAACTAATGCAATATATTACCGCAATATACAGTATGTCTGTGTGCTGCAATTCATGAATCCAAGTGAGAAATTAATTTTTCAAAAGAACAAGTTTGTAGAGCATTTATCAAGACATTTTTGGGAAGATTCCACATTTAATTTCTCTAGTAGAAGATCATCTGGAATTGCAGTTGTCATAAATCATCTCAAGCGAAAACACAACCAGGCAGAAGGATAATAAACATGACAACATGTCAGTGGGGGAAAACCCACCCAACCTCAGAAGATCTGCTTGTTCTTTTAATCAGTCAAAAGAATGAAAACAAAAATCTTCCAGCAGTCTGAAAAATCCACAATAGTATATTTTGCGCTATTGAAAAATTTATTTGAAATTAGAAGTTTGAAATCAGAAATATTTACATTACCTATCAGGAGAGAGGACCATAAAAGGTTACTACAGATGCTACAAAATGGATATGGAGAGGGGAAATTAGGAATATTGAAAGCATGCTTGATTCCAATCCATGAACTAATAACCATAATTTGTATTTGGACCATCATATATTCAGATGCACAGGGAGAATGATTGAGGGCTGTCCAAATATCTGTTAAACTTAAGGAAGACAGAATTACACAATTCATGTTCAATATAATTCTGCACTGGATAGCATTTATACAGAACTTGAATCATATGAATAATGGCCTATCTGTCATATACAAGGAAAAAGGCTCATCCTCAGAGTTGAGAAACAGCAGAAAGTTGAAATAATCTGACAGTGTAGAAGATGCTAATGCAGACCTGAGCATTTTACAGCCCGTGGGCAACTTTTAGCCCTGGGCTGTTTTTGTCCAGCCCACAGCACTGTTGGAGGGGGCAGTGTCAGTGGGAGGCAGGGCAGCATTGGTCGAGCCAGGGCAGGGACCCTCCACAATAGTCCTAGTTTCTCATGTGGCCTATTGGGAAAATTAATTGCTCACCCCTGCCCTAATGTAATACCCAAAATCCAAAGGCTTGCATGCATGAAAAATCAATTATACATCTATCAGTCTCTCTTCATAACAGCGTTTTCATTATTTATCCTATTTTCTATCAATAAATGACACAAGCCTCAAACTAGTGCATGAATCTATTCTTTCATCTATCACAGTGGTTCTCAACCTGTGGGTCGGGACCCCATTTGGGGTCGAACGACCATTTCACGGGGGTCACCAAACAAGGCTGTCCACCATTTTTTTCCCTTTTCCCTAGCTGTCCTACTCCCTCTTATTGGTGGCCACACCCACTTGGGGGTCACCACAACATGGGGAACTGTATTATGGGGTCACGGCATTAGAAAGGTTGAGAATCACTGATCTATCAGATTATCAGCAAATGTATGTACTTACTCTGGGTATTCAGAATGATGCTCGGGGGGTGGAGCAAAGTTAGTGTTGGAAGTCATATTCTCTATCTGGCTGGCAATGGCACTGATGTTGGTATCAGCCACCACCTACATTGCAATGGAAGAAGAAACAAGTATTAACCAGGTGTGACTTACTACTATTAGAAAAATACTAGCAATGAGCTATATTTGATGGACATATTAATGGACCAACCAGAAGCTGAAGCACCCATAATGTAGCCTGCTTAAGGCTAAGTGAAAATTGATAGATTAATAAGTGAATCAAGAACGTGTTTATTCAGTTACTCCTTTAAAGAACTGATTCAGCCACCCAAATTGGACCTGGGGAAGCAAAGCTTCAGACCACGGGTAACTCTTTAAGCCTAAAAGTTCATTGTAAGCATTAATCCACCCTTATAATAACTTTATCTTCAAATGCAGGCAATATATTAATATATCAATTCAAAAATTTCCAGTTAGAATGAAATCACTATAAAACTGCTCATATTTCCTGGATTTTAGTTTGCTTTTAATGGCAATAATCTATGCCCCCGTCTCTCTCTCTCTCTCTCTCTCTCTCTCTCTCTCTGTGTGCGCGTGCGCGCGCGTGCGTGTGTGAGTGTGTGTGTGTGTGTGTGTGTCACTGGCAGAAAAAGCACACCAAAGTTCAAGAATCTCACAAAAAGCTTTTTCTTATCTCATTACCAGGACTGCAAACAGCTGATTCAATTATCAAAGAACATCCGAACAGCCAGGCTGGATCAAATATTCCCTGGAGATCCTAATCTCTCCTTTGCAAAGAGCATTAACACATTTCTTTGCCATCCTGCCCAAGTCATCCTGACAATTAGCATTTCCACAGCTTTATCTCTAGTCATCTGACCTTTCCTACCCATTTACCATGAGGTCATTTTGCAGATAATAGAATTACTTACTGATGTGTCAATGATGAATATCAGATTTTTAAAGAATGAATTTGCTTCTTTGGTATGAATTCAACTTCAGACCAACAAAGAGCATAGTTATTTAAACATAAAATACTATTTGTAATTTTATGGACATATTTGGATATTGATATAGAGGATGTGAATATGGTAGGCTGTGAAAACAATTAACACCACTTTTTAAAAATTAGCCATACATGTAATAGATTAAGGCTCTTCTAATGAATAATTTAAAATGTGTGATAGCAAATCTGTATTTTTTTCTCTAAGTTAATTATTTTTAAGTAAGAAACATATTGCAGGAGATAGGAATTATTTTAAAACTTGAACATCTGATAATCTGCTTCTCTAGAAGTGCTAATGTAACTGAGAATATATATATATAAAATCTCATATGTCAGTAAATTGAGTTTCCTGCATTGGTAAAATATTACTGCCTGTGTAGTATTTAAAGAATAAGTATTAGCAATTTGTATTAGTATTTGATTAATAGTAGAATATGGCCCCATCCTTGGCTGTCAATGTTATTTTCACATTATTTTAAAGCAGCTAACCACATCATTTGACTAATTGCACATTCCCAATGTTATTCTGTTATTCATTGCAAAAGTTGTCTGCTCCCCAAAATCATTCAATTTTTTTCACCTTGGATTTTCATTGGATGTGGTTCTTGCTTGATATGGTTCTAGCAGCTATTTCAAATAGGCTCCATAAATGTCAAATTAGGTATCACCCTCCATGCCACTATTACGGGCAATTATGGTCCCTTTCCTGAGTCAACTATGCTGGCTCAGGAAATCTGAGAGTTGAGGTCCACAGATCGTAAAGGGGCCATAGTTGCTCACTCCTGCTCCATGCGGTGAAAGTATCATGGGCACAAAAACAATATCTATTGACCTGAATCTCATTACCCAAATTTGAACAACTTATATTGTTCAACATAATTGCTGGCTGGGGAATTCTGGAAGTTGAAGTCCACAAGTCTTAAAATTGAGAAACACTGTGCTAAAAAGTGCTGCAGCCTCTGAATCACTTATTTCTTCCATTTCTATCAAAATCCCTCTTTTGAAATAAAACAAGAAGTCAGAAAATATTTCAATGTGCAATCCTTTAAAAAAATTTTTGGGGGTTGGGATACCAAAGTGTTACTCTTAAGACTGATTTCTGAAAATGCTCAAGTAAAATTACTTATTTTGTTTTCAGAAGCGCTTGTTTTTAATTTTTTTAAAAGAATGTTTTGTATTTCTGCAGATGCTGTACTTTTCCACACTTACTTTCCTGTGATTCAGCAATTCTTGCCATCAGAGTTTGCTGATGTAAAAAATGATTTCAACTTTTAAATCTATTTTCCTATTTCCATCAATCTCTTTGCAGGTTATTGCAGTTTGAGATAGACCCAGATCTATCAGTGATTTTATTAACATTAAAAACATTCAAATAACACTCAAAAATTGAATGTAATTATTTTACATTTAGATATCACCCTGAATTTGAAGTGTTTTTTTTTCCCCCTGTGCAGGATCATAGGTAATAGGTAATAGCTTTAGATATCCTGTATTTTAGGTTTTCTTACATAGGGACCTTCTCCAGATTGTTACATATTCAAATTCATTGCCACTTTCAGTTCATGCATTTTTCTCTTTATTTGTGCATTTTCAATTGTATTTATTTTAACAATGCTTATAGAATGTGCTCTAATCAAAACTGACTCCAAGCAGCATTCAATTCCCTTCTGTGGGGAATAAACCAAAAGCAAAAAAATACAAAATATAGCTTGTATACAATTGCATATCCAAGATCCAGAGAATAGTCAGCCCATACAGCAGTCAGCTCATACAATTACAGCAACTGCCATTGCTAAAGGCAAATGGGTTGCCACTCAGTCTAAACACATGTGTGTATACAGATTAAATCAGAGGGCAGAAATGAAATGATGTAATTGCCTTAGGACTGAGCTGTAACACTAATTTTAGAAATTCTCCAAGATAAATGTCCAAGTGAATTTAGAACAATTAAAAATGAGGGGGGGAGGGAAGAGAGAGAATGCTTTTTCTAAGACTGATTCACACAATTGTTTAGACAGATTATTTTGGTGAATAGAATTGGAGCTGGATACGTTTTTTCAACTCATATAGTTTCTTTTCATATAACTTTCAGATTCAGATACACAGGTAGTCCTTGACTTACAACGAAAATTGACCCCAAAATTTTCATTGCTGAGCAAAGCAAGTGTTAAGTGAATTTTGCCCCATCTTTTTTTGCTACAGTTGTTAAGCAAAACATTGCAGCTTTTAAGTGGATCATATGATCCTTAAGCAAATCTGGCTCCCCCCATTGACTTTCTTGGTCAAAAGCTGGCTGGGAAGATTACAAAGGGTGATCACATGATACCGGGACAGTGCTACCACCATAAATACATGCCAGTTGCCAAGCGCCCAAATTTTGATCACATGACCATGGGGATGCTGCAACTGTCATTCATATAAAAATTAGTCATAAGTCACTTTTTTCCAGTGGAATGATCACTAAATAAATGGTTGTTAAATTGATGACTACCTGTACTGTATACCAAAATTGGAGGTGATTGCCATTATAGTAAAAAGCTAAGCAAAAATAAATGAAAAATTCAAAGCTAGACAGATGACATAGCCAACTCTGTCAACATTTTACTATCTGATCTTAGACAAGAGCAACAATAAAATCTTCAATTTGCATTCAGGATGTTATCACTTGGCAGATACATATTCATTTTCAGCTGGTTCCCAACAGATTTCTACAGATGAACTCTTTTCAACTTGGCTAAGTAAACACCAACTTTTGCTTTGAATATATTCAATATAAAAATGTTTTGGTATAATAGTTGTAAAATCCCACTGATCTATACTAGTAGAAAGTTAAGCACCTATCTTCCAAAATCCTGGCAAAAATTAATGGATATAAAATGCATAAGACTCACAACAAGGTATATGATCATTACAGCCCAATAAGATATATTGGGATTTATGATAAGGTGTCTTACTTTTAGTTGTATAGGTCAACTAATAAAATAACCACCTTGCAGTTTATAAACAGGAAAAAAGCACATCTTCATTTTTGCCTTCTCAGATTAAATTAAAATGAGAGATGGATCCCTCCAGTTCAAGCACTGCACCTTGGCTGAAAGCCAGTTGTGTTATAAATCATCACCACTGTTAACAAAGCCTTTTGTTTTGCTCTTTTTCCTCTGAAGAAGATGTTAACTGGATAGAAAAGCTCCATCAAAGCTCCATAGTAAAAGAAGAATCTGTTTTTAGTCAGGTTATTTTTTTTTGTCTCCAACAGTATTTAATTAGTTTATCAATATAAAGTACAGAAGTACAGAGAAAAATGAAAATAACGGAAAAATAAAGCAGGAAAGGGGGAAGAGAGAAAAGTATAGGGTAAAAGGGAGAAGAAAAAGAAAAACATTGACTTCTGACACCTCTTGGTGCAGTAGAATAAAACCTAAAAACATAAAACTTCAACTTTTTACTTTTATATGACAATACACACTAGTCATTTCTCTAACAACAAATTTGCTTTATCACCAAAACCCAAAATCAAAGTTTAATTTTTTTTCCACCTCAAGCACAAAGTTCAAAAGCAGTTTCCAAGTAGAAACAAGTTAATTGTGTTGTATTATTATAGGTTAAATTATAAAATACCAATCTGGGGGATTCCTGGACACGTGATGGAGGGGGTATCTATGGGTGTGAATTTGGATAGGATTTCTTATAAGGAACTACTTGGATTGGTAGGGAATGATTGGCAATTAAAACCGTTAGTTGAGTTAAAACAAGAAAATATTGTACAGTCTTGGTTTCAGTATAATCAATTGTTGGTTAGGTGGAAGTTAGATCAAAAGGTTGGTATTACCTTAATGGATGAGAATTTGGTAAAACAGATTAAAGATCAAAATCGAGTGCATATAAAGAGAATTTATAATGCTTTAATAGAATGGGATTCAGAAATGGATTTAGTTAACGATTGTATGGTAAAACGGGCCCAAAATATTCAAGAACTGATTTCATTGGATATATGAGAGGTAATTTGGGTTAGAAATGTAAAATTTACCCAGGCCCAAAATTTAAGAGAAAATTTTTACAAAATGTTTTATAGATGGCATCTGGATCCTAAAAAGTTGTCTTGTATGTATCCCAATTTACAGCCCAAATGTTGGAGATGTGGTAGCTTGGATGCTACTTATTTTCATATCTGGTGGACTTGTAGAAATATAAAAGCTTTTTGGATTAAGATTTGGTGGAACATTCAAAAGATTTTTAGGAGAAAGATAAAGTTTACCCCACAATTATTTTTATTGGGTGTTATTGTAGATTGTGATGCTAAAGAAATTAACTTGATGTTGAATTTGATAACAGCTGCAAGGTTATTGGTAGGGCAATATTGGAAGAAGGATTGCTTGCCTACTATAGAAGAATGGACGCTTAAAGTGTCAAATTTAGCAGAAATGGTGAAAATTTCTGCTTACTTGAAGGATCATTCACAAGAAAGATACATTTCAGTCTGGAGAAGATGGATAGATTATATTCAGAATAAATACGGGACTAAAAAGTTCCATTTAGTTTATGAGTAAATTTTAGAGTATTATTATTATTAATAGTTTATTGTAGTTGAATTTTTATTAGTTTATTATTATTTTTAGTATTAGTATTGTTTAACAATTTGGATATTGTATTGTTTAATAATATTGACTTGTTTATATTATTATGTTTATTTTTAATTTGTTTATACTTATGTTAAAGGGGAGTTAAAGCGCATTATGGACTTGGTTATTTATATAGTTGGTTAATGTTAGTTAGAGTTTGATTATTATATTTGTAACCCTGTACTCAGCTCTGGGAAGTGGGGGAGGGAGAGGGGGGGTTAGGGGGGTGGGTTTTGGGGTGTATACTGTAATTTTTATAAAACTTTTCAATAAAAAAAATTAATTGTGTTGTTTTCTTTAACCAAAATAGTCAATTTAGCCATTTCTGCCAAGTCCATCCACTTTTGCAGCCATTCGTCCATTGTGGGAATCAGAGAGGAATCTGTTTTTCTTTTAAAGGTGATGGAAACTAAAAAGCAGAGATTCTTTTATCATCTCTGTTAGCAAGAGAACATTTCTCCCTTTTTCTAATTTCATTCCACCATATGCCCAGTTATATGGACAAGAATAAAATGTTTTTGAACATAACAGATTTTTCTTTAATCCTGCGTTAATTGACATCAGCAAACACACTGTGATGTCTTGTGCCAGACACATTCAGGCCATTATTTAAAATTACCACTGAAATCATTGACTCCATTGCACAGTTGTTGTTCAATTTATCATCATACCTGCAGGATGATGCTCCCATAGGCATTCTTCAGCAGATTTACTACCTCAGCATGAGACAGACCATCCAAAGGCTGCCCATTAATACTGACAATCCTATCACCAACCTAAAAGTAAGAGAAAAAAACCAGAACATAAATAGAAATATTGGTAGCATCAGGGATACTGGGAGAGATCGACCTGTTTTGCAAGTGTGGTGCTGCACAGTCGTGTTTCTTATTTATAAAAACACAATAGACCAATTTATAAAACCCACCAGAAGTATTTGTCTCTAAGATTAATGTATCTTGTAAGGCAAGGAAGTTTCAGTGCTAGCAGCCCGTATGTGAGCTCCAAAAGGTTGAAATATAAATTTAATGAATAAATAAACAACTGGCCATTGAAAAGATTTATTTTTAAGATGCTGGTAAAGCTGTCATTCATGGTTGATTGTTACTCTGGATTTGTTAACCTTAGTTTATTAATAGCATTTTTTAAATTCTTTGATCTGTTTCTATAATTTGTGAGCTGTTTTCAGCAACTATTTTCTAATTCAAAGGGAAATGTGGTGCCAAGGTTTTTGTATAAATAAAATAAAAATACCCCAAAAAAGAAATATTGCTTCAATTTTACAATCTAGGAGCAAAGAGAAATCATTGTAAATGGAAGAAGAAGGTACTGGTAGTACGAGAAACACTAATTTTTTCCCTAGAGGTACTTGGTGAAGTGAAGATGTTAGTAACAACTCTATTCTTTTTTCCTGCAAGTCATCCAGTGTCTTCTGAAAGCAAAAAGAAAGAAAGAATATAAAGTTCCTGTTTTTCTACGTTGTATTCAGAAATTGGAAACTTCATGACATGAGTTCACTGTCTTGATTGCAGACATCATACTGCTGAAATGCAATTTTCCACAATTGCTGTTATTCACGCCAGGGGACAAAAATGACGTTCTTTAGCAGCAAAATGAATGAAGCGCCTTATGAAGTTGGAAAAAGAAACATTTTTGGAGGTAATAAAAACAGCAACAGCAGCAAGAAAATGGAGCTAGTGTTTATGCATGTATCAGTCACTCTTCCACTTACTCGTAGTTTATGCGTGCGTGCTGCCACTCCGTTGGCTTGAATCATAGCAATGAAGATCGGAATATCTGCCAGGGGACTTCCCTTGCCACCAGCAATACTGATACCAAGAGCATCGTTCAGGCCCTGAACAGAGAAAACACGGTTATAAGGATCCCTTACTCTGCCCAAGTTTCAAATATATAACCTGTGGACCTGGTGTCACATGGAATACAATTAAGCAAGGATACAATGTGATATCTTGTTCAAAAATTCCATCTCCCATCTCTCAAATTTTCAAATTGCTTTAGTGACATTATTAAACACATGCAAAGGAAGCAATTTTTTTTTTGCATTCATTGAAAGCACTGTCATTTGCAGGAGCGTGAGATTTCAATGACATAATACTAAAATCTTTTAAAAAATATACAGTACACGAGACTCCTAATATTCTCTAGTGGGAAGCTGAGGTACTGTGGTCAAGATAATTCCATAACCTCTTTTATTCATTTGTTTAATTTGCAAATAGATCAGAACGCTATAAATTTACTCATTGTTTACCTGCAGGACAAAATAACATGGTTTTGCTCTTTCTCTCTAAATATATTAAATAAGGAAAAATTACTGACCCTTATGATTTCCACAGTTCTTGGGCTTATGTCTGCTCCAACTGACAACAAAATAAATATACAGAATAATTAAAGGCTAAAACTATCATGATATTATTACTTCAAAATGATCACAAATACAGTATTGTGCTCCTTTTCCCAAACTGAGGGTTTTAAGATGTACTGTATTTGTCTACAACTTCCTGAATTCAAGATCAATATGGCCAATAATTTGAAAGCCAGTTTGGTCCAGTGGTTAAGGCACCGCTAGAAAGCCAGAGACTATGAGTTCAAGTCCCACCTTAGATATGAAAGCCAGCTGGGTGACCTTTGTCCAGTCACTCTTTTCTCAGCCCAGCCCACCTCATAGGGCTGTTGTAGGGAAAAATAGGAGGAGGGAGGATATGTTCGCCACCTTGAGTTATTTGTAAAAATAATAATGGCTGGATATAGATAGATAGGCAGACAGACAGTAAAGGGGGCTAAAACATTCTTTAAGTTCCCGGAAACAGAGTAATATTTGGAAGCCTCCTTGATTATCTGCACTATAAGAGGGAGAGAATTTGTAAAATTCTGTTATTATAGCCAATCTCAATAAGTGCAGTTGTGTTCTTGAGCAAACTGAAGAGCAGAATATCCATTATAATTCACAGAAATATTAATTACTTGTTCTCTCTGATACCTGAATTTCTCTGAGAAGGATCGGCAGATGATCTCTTAGTACTGACTAAATTCTGCAAAGTGGAGATAACTGGAGCAAATGTAGGATGAAAGTGGCTTTGGACATTATGCTGACTCATCTGAAAATCCAAGAAAAACCAATAAGGCTCAAGATAGAATTTGCAAGGTGGTTCCACACATAATCCACATCAACTGCTTTACAGTTTCTCTCATTAGTTATAGCATCTATCATTAGATCTGTTCATTAAACCACAGATGATGCTCATGTTATCCAAGATGCTATCCAGAATTTCTATATCACTACTAACATATTCACACAAAGACCCACACTTCAGAATTTAAAATGGATTTTTCTTTTAAAAAATGTATAGAAACACATATGAACAAAATTCTAATTTGGCTTTTTAGGTGAGGGAAGACATATTGTGCCAACATGATAAAGAATCAGGGAATCTGGCAATTGAGGCTAAAAAAAAGTTGGAATTTATTTATTGCACTTCTAACTTTCTTTAGACTTTTTATTCCATCATATCTGGAGCCCAGCTGCTGGGAGGCAGGAACAAAACTCTACCACTCTCTTAATGAAATAGATTTTCAAGCTGCAGAACACTAATCAAATGTCTGGATCAATGTTTCTCTCTATGCTGAGGGAATTCATTAGCAGTAGCATTCTGTATGCTGGAGAAAGACTAACAAAGTGCAGAGGTAATACCTAGATTTGACGTGTTTAGTTTAGTTTAGGTAAGGCAAAAATAAATGGTGCATCAAAAGTTTGGAAGTTGGGCACAGATTGGGGAATGATCCTAAACTGAAATGAAAACATATGAGAAATAATACTGTTAAATATCTCTATGTCTTCCTGGAAGAATGCAGAGTGGTTTGTCGGATAACTTTCTAAAATGAGAATATAACGTACTGTGTTTCATTATTATCAGGATACGAAGGTTTGTTTTAATTGTATCTTATTTCTTTCACTCCATGTAAAATGGATAGATAGCACGAGATGACTATTGTGGTTACAAGTGGCTGGGGAAAATTACTCTGCTCCCGTACCCTTTTTGAAATTAATGGTTTCATGAAAAATCAAGTGTGTGCATAAGTGTACGGAAGTTATAAAAAAATATTTCTAAAGCAGGATTTTTCTGCCAGTTAAAACACAGGAATTGTCCCATCTATTAACATGGCCCCCAGATAATTAAAAATGATGGATATAAAAAGATTTTTTTAAATTAAGGTTATATTTAAATTCAAAGATAATAATTTTATTCTGATGATCACATCAGACAAGACACACAATTTACAAATAATTTTGGGGATCTATTACTTTATCATTCTTTTTAATGCATTTCCATTTCCTACTAACCTGACTGTTTTGTGATGTCTTCCTTGAGGATAACAAAGATCCCGCCCTCAACCGTCCAATCTCCAGCTGCACAAGTCCTTGGGCACACTTCAATATACAAAATACAAGATAATAAGTATTCATGTTTATTGATGTCCCTCCAAAAGTTATACCTTTAAATAAATCATGACCACTTAAAATGCCCTAGTCCCCAGAAGACCTGGCAACATCCATTTCCCATCTTGCTCTTTTTCTCCAGGTTAAGCTCTATTATAAACTCTATTAAAAGACCATATTTTTAGCTGTAGAAAATATACCTAATATTGTATTCAATAGAGTACACTGTATCAAAGGACTGTACAACTGAAAATTATTTTTAGCTGTATACATTGAGCTAAACTGTAGTTTGTTTAATTAGTGAATGATCCATATTGGCCCAGTTCACACATATGTAATTCTGTAAACAATCTATATTATGGTTTAGTGGGATCTGCAACTAATCTTGTCTTTTTATTTTATGAGGAATAATCAGAAAATTAAGTTTTTAATGAAGGAGTATCTCATAATAGGATTACACTATCTGCTCTTTTACAAAATGCATGTTAAAATATTTTACTGATAAACTTGGTTTATTTCCATTATCTACAGTTAAAATTAAATAGAGTGGATAATTAAGCATAAAAACTATAGATAAATCATAGAACATAAAATTGAATCTTCTACCATGCTTGTTTTTATGAGATTGAACTGTGTTTGAACACTTTGGCTGAATTTAGTATTTCCAAGCAATGTTACATTTTACATAGACTCAACTGCATATTCACCTTAAGAATGGTGGCTACCACCTCTTGAGAAGCATGTCTGACATCCTCACCATTGACAGATAATATCTGATCTCCTTGAATTAGTCTTCCATCGAGATCAGCAGCTCCTCCTTTGACAATATCAGAGATAAACACGCCACTTCCATTTCTAACAACACAGGGAACATATGTACTGCATTATTAAACAACTAAACTATAAATGCTACTTATCTGCAATTCCATATTGTTAATTATTTCCAGCCCAAAAGACCTTTCTAAAGACAATAATATCTCCAAAAACAATTTTCACTGATGATCTCCTCAATCAGAAAGGTCACATTCTGTCACTTATGCCAATTTATTGTGGTATGCCAAATTGTTCTGCTATATCGCTAAGTTGTTATCATCAGTAAATTTTCAGATAAGAAGCAATCACTATCAATTTACTTTTGCACACAGGATCATAATGCCAATGTGATACAAAACAATGTGATGGAGAACACACAGTCTTCCACTGAATATTTCATTTTAAGTCTCCTGGCCCTGAACTGGTAAAATGCTAGTATAACTGCTAGCACTTACAATAACTTCAGCATTTTATGTAAATTTTACAAATGTGATATAGCAGTAAGAGCCACTATGACACTTGTATGCCCTCTCTGTTTCTACTATAAGAATAATCTAATTCCGATCAACCGTATTCCTTACCTTTTCCCTACAATGCTAAGTCCTAATCCTCGGCCCATTTTCCGTTGTAAGTCTACATGGAAAATCTCCAAATTTTCTTCATCTTTATAATGAGCTTCATCTCTATAGACAACAAGCTGCACTTTTGGAGGTGTTTGCCTCAAGGCAGTGATAGCATCTTCATGACTGGCGTTTCTCAAGTCTATGCCATTAACCTAAAATAAAATAAAGCATCCAATTGGACGTATAGTTTACTCACTAGATTTTAATTAGCCCGGTAACAGGCAAATTAGCATGAGCCGCCCAGACTCGCCTTCTGGTGAGACGGGTGGCAAATAAATTTAACAAGTAAACAAACAAACAACACATTTTCCTAGGGCCTCCCAAAAAGAGAGATCCCAAAATCACATTTTTGGAAAATTGCTTCTGTCATTCTAGCACCTCTATCCCAGGTTAGAGTTAAGACTTACACAGATTCAGTATAGAATACCAGAAATTCTGCCAATTCATTTAAAGGGTAAAATTATGGTTAAACATTTCAAGAAGGCAATTTTTACCTTTCCCTATTTGATCTAGGAATTTTATTCAGTTTGAACTCCAAAATTTGATTGATCTTAGTGAGAACAAGCAAGTGAAAAGACAAATTTGCTTTAATTAACCATAGTTACGATTAGAGTTTCTAATTATTAAATTAATATACTAATTATATTTAAATCATAGTTCAGAGACTAGAAGCTCCCATCAGTTTTTTTTTAAAAGGTTGTACTATGGTTGAGTACTGGGATTGAGCCAGCACTTATTCATAATATTGTTTTGTATAATTCACTAAAATAAATCGTGCTTCTTAAATAATTGAATAAGAATATATCCATTCTTAATGTCTGATAAAATTATTTGAAAATGTAGATTTCCCCAAATCCTTAGAGCAAAGCATGATGATAGAAAAGGCAAGTTCTGTATTCTTTTCTGAAGGAGTAATACTGAAATTCTACATGTCTGCCGTAAAATCTACTAATTTCAGTAAGGTTTATTCATGGGTAAATAGACATAGTATTGCTTTCTGACCCTGCTGTTTTGTATGCATGATAAAGATCTACCTGTTTTTCTCTATTTTTTTTAATTTCACAATTCTATCCTTTGAAAGCAAAACAATACTTTTATATATTCCAATAGATGGCACACCACACCACAGCAAAGCTTTAAATTGATCTTAAAACAAATATTAGTACTAAATTGTAAATGGAGTCAGAACAACTGTTTTCATTATCATCATGGCCAAATAAAAATATCTTTCGGTTTTAACTACTGCAACTTGAAACATGTACTCTAATGTAATTTCTGGAACAGTTCTGCTATTATGCTTTATTCATCTCTGACAAAGCAGTTTTCATATTTTTAAAGTCCTCCCTCAACTTCTACTTCACATTACTAGATTAATCTAATCATCTTGCAAGACATTGCCTTCAAAATGGAAACAGTAGTACATAGGAGAAAGTTATTTTGGCATAGTAATTAATCAAAGTGAGCTGAAAACCAGGAGAAAATTAGTTGTGGCCTTCTTGGACACAAAGCTGGCCGGATGCCTTTAGGCCAGTGTTTCCCAAACTTGACAATTTTAAGGCATGTGGACTTCAACTCCCAGAATTCCACAGCCAGCATTGCTGGCTGTGGAATTCTCGGAGTTGAAGTCCTCATGTCTTAAAATTGTCAAGTTTGGGAAACACTGCTTTAGGCCATCACTTTCTCTTAGCTCTTTGGAAAAAAACAATGGTAAATAACTTCTAGAAAATATTGTCAAGAAAACTTAATGGACTTTTCCTAATAGTTGTTAGGAGTGAAGACTAATTTGAAGTCACCCCCCAAGAATATTTATAAATTATATAATATATGATAAGAAATATTTGTGGGACTCAAACAATTAATACTAGATTTTGAATTGTTGGAGCAAATTTTCAATCATAAGCATTTCAACACACCCATACAGTTATCCCAAAGACAAGAGAAATATTCAAGGAAGTAAATTTGAAACTCACTTCCAGAATTTGATCACCAGCCCAAAGTCGACCATCTCTAGCAGCTGCCCCTTCTTCATAAACTTCATGGATGACTATGGCATCCTAGAGAAATATACACGCTTTATATCAATACTTATAGTTTAAAAACTGGTAGTTCAGAACATAGAGTGATTGATAAGCAGACAGATAGGGAGGGAAAAAGGTAATTATATGTCAAATTTCTCATTACACATAAATATATTAAATATTAATAGATATTGTGTTAATGTTTAAGACCTGCTTTGATACTGTATGCAGGTTTAGGCTGCATCAATAGAATATAGTGTCCAAATCACAATAAGTTAATAGTTCCATTATATTCCCCACTGATCAGACTCAAACTTGAGTCCCTGTATCACAATTTAAGAATTCAGACAAATTGAAACAGATTCATAAAAAGGCACAAGGATGATCACTTGACCTGGATATTCTTCAGAACTATTGACCAGTTTCCCACCTACGAGGGAAAGATTAATGAGAAAGTGGTGGCGTTGATCTGGATCCAGTTCAGTTCAGATTCTAGCCTGGATATCAATGGAAATGACATTGATTATATTTGTGAATGTTCACTGGTAAGAAGCAGATGGAGGAATATGATGCAAAGTGCCAGTCATCATCTTTAAAGCCCTTCATATTCAGCCCTGGGGATATATGAGACCATTTTCTCCTTGTAACATTTGAGACAATTATCTGCTGACACTGGGGTAGAGCAGAGTCACTTTGGCTCTGGGATTGCCATCTGGAAGAACCATAAAACGTTGCCTTTTCATTATGGCTTCCATCCTCTGTAATAGCTTGAGCCCTGGATGACCCAAGTGTTCTCCTACCTCCTAGCTTTTAGAAAGTTAGATTTAGAAAGACAGATTTTGGCTATATCTGTGATTTTTTTTTTCATCTGAGAGTAATTCGTATTAGACTTCTACCAATGTTAATACAAGAAGGTGATTCATTTAATCTTGGTGATATCTAAATCGACAGATTTAATGAAGAATCAAAGTTTGAAGGACTTCATGGGATAATTTAATATGACTCTTTTCTTACACTATAATGCTGCAATTCAATATCCCCCCCCCCAAAATTCCAAAGTTTAACAGCTTCTGCAAAAATGTTGTTCTAGGGACAACAATATACATATTTACTGAAAGGAGAAGAGGCGACAAGCAGGAAGGATGCAGAGACTGCTTTTATCTCTTCATGAACTACATGAAGAGATAAAAGAATACGCAGATGCCTTCACGGGTTAATCTCTAGCTATCGCTTTTAACAACGAGCCATGTAGGATGCAGAATAAACATTTCAAACTGGGCAGCAGACAACATTTCAGAGAACAATATCAGGGACACAAAGAATAAGCATATAAAAATCAGAAAGTGATTGTTGTAATAAGTAAAACAATACTTTCTAAGCTTGGGTCCTTGTGTTCAGAAGGACAGCTCCTTATAGTTTTATAATAAAAAAAAATGTATTAAAAAATAAAAGAACAATGAAAACAATCACTCTGTCTCCATCTCATTCTTTAAAAAATTTTCATTTGGTGCTGAATGGGCATGTAGAATCCAATTAATGCAAAACTACCAAAAAGTTTGGGAGAGTGGGACATCTGTGCCTGATTCGATAGGTGTTGGGGAGGGGCAGCAGAGGCGGCCTCTACATCTGAGAAGGGCCTCCTTGTAGCCATGATTCACTTCTTTGGGGCACTCTGAGAAAGCATTCAAAGATCTGGGACAGGTATACTAGTAGTCCTTGACTTATGAACACAAATGAACCCAAAATTTATGTTGATAAGCAAAGCAATTGTTAAATAAGTTGTTCCTCCTTTTAAGACCTGGTTCAGACAATTCAAAATAAAATTGGATAATCTCTTTTAGAAATATTTTGCTATCAGGTACATATCCCATTCAAAATTAGCAATTATTCTCATATATATAAACAGATGTCCTTTTACCCTTCCAAGGACATCAGAATCTTGTCTTCAGAAAGCAGTAATCTGCCTCCATTTCCCCATTATTAAAGTATCATTATATCTCTCATTATATCTCTCTCTCAAAAAAACCCCCTTTATTTTATCTGGAAACAATCTTTGGCAAGGCTAGCACTTAGCACAAGACAACAATCTGTAAGTCCATTGAGTTTCCTTAGGAAATATGATTAAAATGACATTTGGTGTATTTATTTTCTAGGCTTGTTAAACGACCTGAACAAAGCACTATCTGCCAAGTCTCTCTCCCTCTCTCTCTCTCTCTCCCTCCCTCCCTCTCCCTCCCTCTTTCTTTCTTTCTTTCTTTCTTTCTTTCTTTCTTTCTTTCTTTCTTTCTTTCTTTCTTTCTTTCTTTCCCTTTCTTTCTTTCTTTCTTTCTTTCTTTCTTTCTTTCTTTCTTTCTTTCTTTCTTTCTTTCTTTCCTCCTATTTCTAAACCACTCATATCCTTCAGAGGTATGAGAGAAAAGTACACATATTACTTAAAAAGGGAATTAAAAATTTAAATCTTCACTTTGGATACATAAAAGGAACACTAAGAACAAACATTTACAAAACGGTTTGTTGTTTCTTCTGAAACAAACATTTACAAAAACAGTTCGTTGTTTCCTTTGTACATAAGTGAACTATCAGTCTATGTCTAGAAGCAAAACTTTCCACTTTTTCTCTTCAATTTCTGTTACTTCCACTTCCACAATTTATATATAGCTTTTTCTGAAAACTTCCATTTATAGTAAAATTAAATATCTAAAGTTCTTTGAAATCATTACTGCAAAGGCCCAACATGCATGACCACAGAAAAGGGAACCAGAAATAAATCTCAAAGAGGCTTCTAAAAAGTTACTCCCAATGTTGATGAGGGAATCTTACCCATTCTGTCTTTTAACAATAACATTTGGAATTTATTTTTGATATAAAGCCATTGATCGTAGACAGTATAGTTAGTGGGAGTTCAGGAGAATGTGTTCAATTTAAAAAACATCTTTCCTGAAAAGTGCTAACATCACTCAGAGTAAGGTGACACGAAACGAAAAAGACAAGGAAGAAAGTAACAACATCTTTGCCCTAAAGCAGTTCTTTTTGATCAAAGGATTGTTTCGACGCTTCCCTTTTTCTTTTAAACCATGCAGCTATCAGTATTTACAACTATGATGCCATTGCAAAATGTTACATTGCCGTATCACATTTCTAATTACTCCGTTTGGGATTTGAGGGACATTAGTGGCCATTTATTTACAGAACACCACAGAACCGCAAACTGCCGATTTAGGAATCAATCTGTTTACAGGAAGCTGCATAATTAAATTACAATTACTGATACAAAAATATGGTTTACACATGCTCACAGAGCGATATCACTTTAGAGGGGGAAAAAATGAAAAATGCAACCAGCATGGGCAGAAAATTAGAGAATTGGGTTTTTTTAGTAGTACAGCAGTTGGTTTTTCCCCCTTTATGGATTACTGCCTTGTCGTGGCGAAGGGGCTTGCGTAACTCAATGAAGCTATAAGCTATGCCGTGCAGGGCCACCCAAGACGGACAGGTTATAGCAGAGAGTTCTGACAAAATGTGATCCACTGGAGAAGGAAATGGCAAACCACTCCAGTATCTTTGCCATGAAAACCCCATGGACAGTACTAAAAGGAAAAAAGATATGACGCTGGAAGATGAGCCCCTCAGGTCGGAAGGTGTCCAATATGCTACTGGGGAAGAGCAGAGGGCTAGTACTAGTAGCGCCAGAAAGAATGAAGCGACTGGGCCAAAGCCGAAAGGACGCTCAGCTGTGGATATATCTGGTGGTGAAAGGAAAGTCCGATGCTGTAAAGATTTTTTCTCCATAGGAACCTGGAATGTAAGATCCATGAATCAAGGCAAGCTAGACGTAGTCAAAAAAGAGATGACAAGACTGAACATCGACATCTTAGGAATCAGCGAACTAAAATGGACAGGAATGGGTGAATTTAACTCAGATGACCATCAGGTATACTACTGTGGGCAAGAATCCCTCAGAAGAAATGGAGTAGCCTTCATAGTCAATAAAAGAATAGGAAAAGCAATACTGGGATACAATCCCCAAAATGACAGAATGATCTCAATTCGAATCCAAGGCAAACCATTCAATATCACAGTAGTCCAAATCTATGCCCCAACCACTGGTGCTGAAGAGGATGAAATTGACCGGTTCTATGAAGCCCTACAGCACCTTATAGAATTAACACCAAAAAATGATGTCCTTATCATCATGGGGGATTGGAATGCTAAGGTAGGAAGCCAAAAGATAACCGGAATAACAGGCAAGTTTGGCCTTGGAGTACAAAATGAAGCAGGGCACAGGCTAATAGAATTTTGTCAAGAGAATACGATGGTCATAACAAACACTCTTTTCCAACAACCCAAGAGACGGCTCTACACATGGACATCACCAGACGGTCAACATAGAAATCAGATTGACTATGTGCTCTGCAGCCAAAGATGGAGAAGCTCTATACAGTCAGTAAAAACAAGACCAGGAGCTGACTGTGGCTCAGATCATGAGCTTCTCGTTGCAAAATTTAGGCTTAAATTGAAAAAAGTAGGGAAAAGCACTAGGCCACTCAGGTATGAACTAAATCATATTCCTGATGAATATACAGTAGAGGTGACAAATAGATTTAAGGAACTGGATCTGATAGACAGAATGCCTGAAGAACTATGGATGGAAGTTCGCAACATTGTACAAGAGGTAGCAACTAAAACCATCCCAAAGAAAAAGAAATGCAAGAAAGCAAAATGGCTGTCTCAGGAAGCTTTGCAAATAGCTGAGGAAAGAAGGGAAGCGAAAGGCAAAGGAGAAAGAGAAAGATACACCCAATTGAATGCAGAATTCCAGAGAGTAGCTAGAAGAGATAAGAATGCCTTCTTAAATGAACAGTGCAAAGAAATAGAAGAAAACAACAGAATAGGGAGGACCAGAGATCTCTTCAAGAAAATTGGAGATATGAAGGGAACGTTTCATGCAAAGATGGGCATGATAAAGGACCAAAATGGCAGAGACCTAACAGAGGCAGAAGAGATTAAGAAGAGATGGCAAAACTACACAGAAGAAC